GAATACGTAATGGAGTATGTTGATGCACATGAATTTTGGGCATCCACATGAATATTGGGCACTCTTAACTTCCAGAAGTCGTAGCTTCTTGCTTGTGCATCAGAATTACTACGATTACCCCTATGGCAGCTTAAGCCCTAAGAATTATCTTTTTTTCCATTATTTATTGTTCTTTTTACAGTGTAGAAAAAGTTCGAGCTATAATTGATGGATAGGATAGGGTTTGGTCTCTAAATCGCTTATGATGTAAGGGTGAAGTCAACTTTGAGGTTCCATGTTTTAAGATTTCCTATTTTAAGTAGAGGTGACCATGGAGTTGGGACTTGTAAGATCTCCCTTTCAATTTCGATCAATACAAGGGGTTGTTTGTTTCCTTTTTTTTGGTATTTTGATTTGCATCATGAACATTGTTACTTATAGTGGAGCAATTAACGCGCCTATAATGATTAAGATTAAAAAGAGATAATTAGCTATTTGTCTTTCAATGATATGATAGTAGACCTTTTAACTAAAAATTTAACCTAAGATACATTAAGCATGATGAAACTTGGACACGTATAAATTATACCCTATGCACTTTGATTCTACAAAGGATCAATTCCTGTACATAGAAAATTATCTTCTTGTAGACCATACCTCAATGGGTAAATTGATATTTGGTCCGGCACTTGGGATATATATGGCAATGCCCGTGGGTAAAAAGCCTCTTTATGAGCAAAAACCTATGGTAAAAGAGTGATAATACATCCACCTTTTGGCGAAGTGAGAGATGTAGGAATATAACTATAAAGGCCTCATGATCACTATTACTTTCATGCTCTCTCTTTCTTTTCTTGTTTATATATTTAATAAGTTTATTTAATTTCTAAGTAGCTCCTTTCTCTATTTAAATGTATTGACCATTTCTCTGGGATATAACATTTGTCTTTCCTTTTTCCCCACATCTCCATATTAATCTTGATGTTTAATTTTAAGAGAGAGAAGAGAGAGTTATGGAGAGATGAGCCTTAATTCTAGATCTTAAACAAGGACAACTAAAAAGATTAACTACGGGATGCACAACCCGCCTCGATGGTCATCGAGGAAAGGACAACTAAAAAGATTAACTGCGGGATGCACAACCCGCCTCAATGGTCATCAAGGAAAGGGTATACGGACCAGCGGATGCAAGTGTAAAGGTGTTTGTTGTAGGCTGGGCTCCGGCATTGCTAGGGTTGGCTTGAGCTCGGCCAGGACCCTAGAGGGCAACCCCAGGCCTACAATGATCAGGACAGGGCCAAAATGGCCCTTATCCTAGCCATAATTCTACTCTTGGGTTAGGAGGCCCAACCTAGCCCTATCAATAGGGTTGGGTAGCATCGATCATGGACGAACTAGTAGATATCAATTTTGTTATCTTATGAATTTATAAAAAGGACAAGTTGGAAGGGGTAGGTCCAAAAAGACTTAGTTAGAAGTAAAATTACAAAAGATACGGGGACTTATAGCTTATGAACCTTGACAGAACAGAATGGTAGCCAACTCCAATTCGTTGGAAAAGGCTTTGACGATGATGAATTCATTAAAAACAAAAACAAAAAACATCAGATTATAGCCCAAGACCAGCCCGAACATTGAACTTAGATTTTATGCCAGGCCCAGGCTGCCCAGCCAGTGCCACCCCAATGCAAGTGCTTCCGTGCCTAATCGTTGTTATTTGTTTGTTTTAATTGTGTCTATGGATTCTCGTGAATTCTTGTGGAGAACTTCAGTTGATGTCGTAGTTTCTACTCACTAGTTGTGATTTTTGGCCATGCGCTTTTCTTACAATTGGGGCTGCTTCTCGCTGCATAGCCAGCCGAGCGCCTGAACCATTTTCAACAACTCAAGCTTGTCGTGGTGGTCCAAGTGCCAAAGATATCGTGCTCCCGAGGAGCAGACATCCATTTACAACCTCGAACAAAACTCAAATCTAGGAGGATTTCTAGGACCCCAATTGTCAGGGATGTAACCTCTTCAAGCCATGTGCTATACTATAGTTAAAATAAAAGGAAAATATCCATTTATCCTTTATTTTTAACTTCTATATCTTATGAAACCCAATAATTGAAAATATTACTTGTAAGTACAAGGTCTCCATCTTTTCTATCTTCCAACCCCCTAAACTTTTTGACCATGTATTATTGATTTCAACAACTTATAAAATGACTCCCTTCCCTCAAAACTTAACCTCCATTTAACCCGACCAGACTGTTTCTCTCTCTAGACTATCCATGTTCAAGAGCTCAGACTCTCTCTCTCTTCGCCCTCCTCTGTCTTTTTGAAAGAGTGTTTGGAAGCTTAATTCAATACTTTCTCTCTCTAGACTATCCTGAGGAGGTAGCTTTCTCTCTCTAGAGTTCTTCCTCTCTCTTTCTGCAACCCATTTCTTTCCCGCTCAATAATGGTAGAAGTCAAGAGACTCTACCAAATTTAGAGAAGCTGGAGACTCTCTTTAAACTTCGCCAACATTAGCGGCTCTGTGACTTCACTGCTGGTTTCTTCTTGCACGAAGTCTCTCACGGAGCTTGATCTCGCCATAAATGGATTTTCTGGCGAGGTCCTGGCAATCTCCTTTCTCAGCTCCTGTGAAAACCTCAAGGCTGAAGGTATGGAAGAGAGAGAGAAAGGGAATGAATCAAAAAACACATACCAGAGGAGAGAGAGAGACAAAATATAATGGAAGACTACAGAAGACAGAGGGCCATAAAAATAGGGGATATGGAGATATTTTTCCATAAAAAAATCTTAGAGAAACAATAGCCTATCCATGAAAATAACAGTAGGAAGACTTGCTTCATCTCCAAAACTAGGGGCTTCGCGTCCTGCAATCTTTTTCTCTCTCTCTTCAATAAATCTATCAAAATGCACCTCTCCAAATCACAGTCTCTCTCTAACTTCCGTCTCCCTCTCTCTCTCAAATCAAGTCTCTCCATGTGTCTCTCTCTAAACTCAATCACTCGCTCAGGAATTCTTGTTCTTTAGCTTTGCAGGCTTCTGGTTTGGTTCCTGGCTCAACAAAAAAAAACCCCAATGGATAAAAAAACTGAAATTTTGGGTAAAAATGATCGTACCCTACTTTTTGTCAAGAAAATGGCATCTGATAATTACTCCAAATCTGATTTTTTAGAGGGTCATTACTCTGCAATCCATGCAGTTACAGTATATAAGTTTGAGGATTTACAGAAAGCTACCAATGATTTTAGCTCAGATTATAGAATTAAGGGATCGGTTTATAAGGCCACTATAAAAAGGGTTATGGCTGCTATAAAGAGCATGAGTGAGGATGCTTCATCTGAAATCAACATATTAGAGACGATAAATCACTGAAACAACATATTGGAGACGATAAATCACTCGAACATTGTAAGATTGTTTGGATTCAGTGTACATCAAGGGAATACATACTTGGTTTAAAGAGAGAGAGAGTTTGGGTTTTAGAGAGAGAAATGAAATTTTGCGAGAGAGATGGTGATGCCAGAGATAGATGGAATTTTAGAGAGAAGTAGAATTTAGATAGTGTCATTTTAATGTTTGTTTGGGTAAAAAATATATAGTCAAAAGAATCCAAGAAGTTGTAAGATAGAAAAGATTGAGACATTTTGCTTACGAGTAATATTTTCAATTATTGGATCTCATGATATATGGAAGTTAAAAATAAAAGACAAGGGGATATTTTCCCTAAAATAAATAAATCGAAATTACTTGAAAAAAAAAAATGCCTTAAAACTGAATAGAAACTATCCAATGTTTAAAGGGTGCGGTTTGTATAGAGCCTAGGCTCTAAACAATCACAAATTAGAACCTACCATTAAATAGTATCGAGAAATGTGATTTTAATATTGAAAATCTTTGTAATAGCCTTAAAATATATTTTTATATTTATTTATAAAGTTTAAAGCTTCAAATATAGTATAGATCGACAGATCTATGAAAACTTGAAAATCTTGAAAACCGACGGTCAAAAAACATATTGTAAAATACACTACTTTCAAAACTTGAAATCCATTTATTTTTCATATCCATGCATCTTGATGTCGAGATGATCGATTTAAAGATATTTGGGCATCAAAACAACCTCTTCTGGGAAATTTTTGAGGTAGGCTCATATTTGATTGTTTAAAACCTCGACTCTATATAAACTTTTCCCATGTTTAAAAGGTGATATGTAAGTGTTAGAAAAATTTCAAATTTTTTCTTTTGAATGTAACCACCGATTTTCAAATAGTTCCCAAAATTTCAAATACAAAAACTCCCTAATCTTGTCTTCTGCTGGAGGGAGTAAATGTACAATATGCTCCCGCAAGAGGATAGCACCCAAACTAATAAAGATAAAATTTTTTGAAAATCATGGATAAATTATGAGCATGCTATAATATATACATCTTATACCAGACGTGTGTGTTACACTCATATACACCCACCCAGCTTGTTGAGCATGCTAGTACCTTGCACAGGAGGTGTATGCTTTACTCATTTATATACCTACACACCTTAGACCCAAATGATAAACCCAACCTTAAACCCAAATTAAAAGGAGGGAAAATAGCACTTGTTTAATGTGAAAGTCGCTTTTCCTGAAGAACCTACCTAGTTTTCCAGGTGGAGCCTTTCATAGAGAAACTGTCTGGTTTTCTGATCAAATAGCAAGGGTTACTCATTTCCGGAAACAAAAGGAAGGGAACAGTGGACATGGAGAAAGGTCATGACGATTAGTTGCTGAAGAATTGGGGAACATATTGCCAGAATCTGATATTCTGCCACGGCCATGACAATAATAAGCTTTAATCTTCCGGCAATTTGGCTGGGAAAAAGGGGGAGGGATTCTCCGGCGAGGCCAAGGGGCTCGAATTCGGCAAATTTTCCTACAGAAGTTGTTTGAAAGCTTCCACATCTTGAGTCAAGCCCCTAGCCAATTATATAGGTCCTCTCATTATCTGCTTTTACTAGGAAAAGCGGCTTCTTAAATGGAGGTAGAGATATCCAAAGTCAATCTAAAATCTTAATCATACAACGTCTTGAAAACATTCTCAGATGTTTTTACACTCATAAAAAACCCTAATAATAATAATTCATAATAGAGGAGCTACTTTCTGGCCCCACCTTAGAACCATGCAAGACAGGAAATCAGAAAGAACAGACACCCTTTTGGTCCTGCTCCATATCAGTTTCATCAGGTACAATAAATCCGCCGTTCCATTCAGATAACATTCGGTTCATATCTTACCTAATAAAAAAATGTCAGTGCTTAATGCACAGGAAGAACAGTAGTTTATTTTCACCAGATTAAAATCAGTAAATAAACTTTTCTGCACATTTAAATCCCATCTTTCTCAAGAACGATTTCTCATACAAAAAGGAGCAAAATGTTTCTTAGATTTTCAAGCAGTTGGGAAAAAAGGCATATTGCAGAAGGACAAAAATGTTTACATTGTTCATTTTGCCTGGGGGTGCGAGGCAATGAAATTGACAGCGAGGTTGATGGTGTGAATCTTGTCAGCTTCGTTATCGGGTATTTCAAATCCAAACTCCTCTTCCAAGGCCATGACTATCTCAACTGTGTCAAGACTGTCCAGACCCAAGTCATTCTGGAAATGAGCATTTGGAGTAACCTGCATAGAAATGCCGAATATCACAAGGATCAAGCCCCAGAAGGACCTTAGAGGATCTCTTGATGAGTTGTGCATCAATGAGGTGGAAAGAACCATATAAATGAACCAAGATGCCAAATTATATTGCAAGTACTTGTAGAAGAAAAATTAGTGCCATAAAACTAAAAATAAAATAAAGAGACAGGAAGTAAGAATAGAGTACTACACAATTAACACTATCAAGGATGGATGTAATGCACATATTGCAGGTTCTATCAAAACAATTCTTACTAGTACATTCCGCATTTGATTTTGCTTGCTTGACAGTCAATTATAAAATCTAGTTCAAGCTCTAGTTCATAACAACCTTATATTGATAAGGTACAAACATGGAAGAGAAACCAATAAAGCCACAAAGCAGGCAGCATACAAGAAACATACTATCTTATACAAGAAACAAGTGCAGAAACAGTCAAAATAAGGCGATAAAAATAAGTAGGCATAAACAAGTAATGGAAATTTTTTTGGACATAACAGGGAAATCATGGAAAGGAAGAGCATATTAGAATGGTATCAACTACACACACTATACCTGGAATTAGCTACACATGTCTCACAAAGCTTGAAGTGCAAAGGAGATAAATAATTCCTCTTTGGCAAGTTTCGAATATATCTTCCAAAATATGCATAAATCTCGAGCTGACTATGATCTCACCCATCTGATAACATCAACTTGCCTTCCACCATACGAGGTTCACATGAAGACCAATATAGCAAATCCCGAAAGGACCATCAAATGCCCATCTGCTCACATCCTTAAGGTCCCATACTATGACCTGGACTACCCAAAAGAGATACCATCAAAATCAAGCCGAGGTCCCCAAGAGTGAGAACTAACAGCAACACCTCTCAGAAAGCACATTGGTTCCCTATGTTGGATTTTGTGACCTTTAAAAGCCTAGAGAGCATGTAAACATGATATTTTATAGTGGAATATATACTTCAGTGGGAATGTGTATGTTGACTGAATAAGGGTTTGACGATTTATAGCCCTGGTCATGTCCAAAACCCTTACCTTGACATATGGCACTACCGAGAAGATTTTACAGTGGATCATCCCTTTTTGAGGTTGGAGAGATGCTCATGAATGAGGTTTGTAGGCCAGAGTGTGTGATCGCCTGGGTGCGGTTGTGCAGGCTTATGAGATCAAGGGCCAAAACCTCAACCAACTTTTGTACGACATGTACTTATGATAACTGCATTACTGGGAAGCAACCCTAGAAGGGGACACGTGTACATGTGCAAGACTTGCTCTTAAAGGGAAGAATTGAAATCCACATTCCAAGATCATGGTCTCATTGTTTTATTGTCCAACTTTGAGAAGCCAATCATGAGCCCTTGAAATGAGATTGTGGGTCATGAGTCTTTGTTGGGTTGGATAAGAAAACAGTAATGGATCATGGTTCTTGAGGCGAGTGGATTGCCATTATTGTCGCTATTTGTGACTCACTTCTACTATAACTTTCATCAAAAGGGTATTTATGAAAATTTCATAACTTAAAATAACACATGTGGGACCAAGGATCTAACTCCACATGGGAGTTCTTTTATAAGTGGGGACCACGTGCCACCCTTAAAGGGCCACACCCAAATTTATTTATTTTAAACAAAAGGGGGCACGCCATGTTTTTAGGAAAAAGGGGGCACACCCCATTTTTTTATTTCAAATTTTATTTTAAGATAAGAAATCTTTTGTTTTTTAAATTAAATTTCGTTTCCTATATTGTGGGAGTTTTAAAATATAGATTATCCTTGATTATGGGAGATCTATATTATGATAAGTTTTTATTGTATTCCAAATTTAAACAAGAACAGGATTTAAGTTAAAATCTAAAGGGATAAGGTTGTTATCTTTCCACCAAAAATCATGATTGCTGATTTGTGGGATGGATGACTTTGATTAAATTTCTCTCACCCTACAGATTTTCTAAATTATCCTGAAAGGTCTAACTAGAAATTAGATAAGGCATACCTAAGGAATATTATTCCAATTGGGAGATAGATTTACTTCTATTTTAAGACTTAGTTTAAATCTATTTCAAATATAGAACAAGATCTCTCTCTCACACACCAAGTTCTCTCTACCTCACGCCATATTTTCATTTTCTCTCTTTAAAATTTGAAGTCGCGTGCCCCCTTACCCCAATAGGGAGGCACGCTACCCTCTCTCCTCTTATTTGTGTATAGTGAAATCCCAAGACTAAGGGTTTGTCATATTTTGAAGAAAAGAAGACAAAAGCACAGCTTAGAGAGAAATTAACTCACAAATTCAACTTTAATTTGTTCCTCTAGGGTTTGCAGAAACCTTAGTTACAATGTTTCAAAAAATGGTCCGCCCGATGCCCAGGCGCCCGCTTAGGCACCCAAAAAAAAATTTTCGCACGCCTAGACCTGGGCGCCTCAATAAGGGCAGCTGTACCTGGGCGGGCGCCCAGGTGGGCTAGGCAGCCGCCCAGCACAATTTATGATTTTTTTTTTTTAAACTTTGCCCAAAAGGGCAAAAGGGGTCATTTTGACCCCCAAGTTTGTATAAAAGAAGTTTAGGGGTTTATTTTTCAACCCCAAACTGAAGAAAAACAAGAAACCCTCAATCTTATTTATGAGAATCTAAAGCAATTGCTGAGAATCGAAAGTACTTCTTGTGGATTGAAAAACTTTGTTTTTCTGATTGAAATTATTTTTAGGGTGCTATTGGTGGTATTAGAAGACTTTTGAGTTGATTCGTAGCTCGATTGAGATAACCAACATCGAAGATCAAAGATTGGGTAGAAAAGGTAAGTCTGCAATATTTATTTAAGTTTTATTTTTTCAATTTGAGATGTCTTCTTCAGGGTCTACTAGGGGTGGAGATCCGGGATAGAAATATTGTGTTAACCCTGATAAGAATGATAACAATTTTTGTAGACATGTTTCTAATGCCGATATAAATAGATTTAAGAAACATCTTGCCGGTATTAGAGGTGATGTCGCCCCATGTAAGAAAGTCTCAGATCTTGTAAAGAAAGAAATTTTGGAGTACATTGAAGCTGAAAAAGAGTAAAAAAGTTGCAAAAAAAAAGGATATAGCAGAATTAAACTCAGGGATTCATATTTTTTATGATAATATTGAAACTGAAGAAGAGGATGATGAAGAGGGGGAAGAAGAGGTAGCTATGGTTGGTACTCAAAGCTCTAAGACCAAGAGGGCTTTCAGGTCTAAGAAGGCTCGTAAGAGAGAGCCTATAGATAGTTTTTTTACACCTAGCCCTGAGACAATAATTGAGAAAGGCAAGGGAAAGGGGAAAAAACATATGACAATTGAAAATAGGTTTAAAAAGGAAGATAGAGCCAAGGTGATTTAGTATATTGCTCGATGGTTTTACCATGCGGGCATTTCTTTTAACACTGCTCGCTTGAATAGCTTCCATACAATGTTGGAAACAATTGGGCAATTTGGGCCAGGTTTGAAAGCTCCAACTCCTTATGAGATTGGAGAGCCACTAATGAATATCGAGTACACTAATGAATATCTCAAGACTCATAAGGAGGGATGGGCTAAATTTGGGGTGTCTTTGATGACAGATATGTGGAGTGATAGGAAGAGGAGGAGTAACATGAATTTATTAGTAAATTGTCCCACGAGTTCAGTTTTTTTGCGCTTAATCGATGCTTCCAATGATGTCCATGACGTGTATTATATATCTTCTTTCATTGATAAGGGCATTGACGAGGTTGGGGAGGAACTTGTAATTCAAGTGGTCACAGATAAAGCTGCTCCCAATCTAGTTGCAGGTCATTTGCTTCGACAAAAGAGGCCTTGTATATTTTGGATTCCTTGCGCTGCACATTGCGTAGATCTTATGCGTGAGGCAATTGGTGAATTGCCTCCCATTAAAGGAATTATTTTTTAGGCTAAAGAGGTTACAATCTTAATATACAATCACATACTTACCCTTAGCGTGATGCGTAAGTTCACAAAAAAGAGAGAGCTAGTGAGGCCTAGGGTCACTAGATTTGCCACTGCCTATCTTAGTCTACAGAGAATGTAAAAGAAGAGGATCGCATTAAGGTCTATGTTTGCTTCAAAGGAGTAGAGTACGTGTAAGTGGTCTAGAGATGCCAAGGGAAAGAAGACACAAGATATTATTCTTTAGAAATATTTTTGGCATGGGTGAAACATGCGATATTAGTATTTCTTCCCTTGGTGAAGGTCTTGCACTTGGTTGATGCTGATAAGCCCTCCATGGACTTTATATATGATGTAATGGAAAGGGCTAAGAATGAGATTGTAGAGAATTTGGACAATGATGCAGCGAAGTATGCCCCAATTTGGGAGATTATAGATGACAAATGAGATAGGCAGCTCCATAGACCACTGCATGCAGCGGGGTATTACTTGAACCCCAAATTCTTTTATGCAAATGTAGATATTGAGTCAAAAGGGGTAATTATGGATGGTTTTAATGAGTGCCTTGAGAAATTAGTTCCTGATCCAAATATCCAAAATAAGTTATCAATTGAAGAGCTAATTTCGTACAAGAGTTCTTTGATGTCATTTGGGAAAGATATGGCATTAAAGCAAAGAAACAAAGACAAACCAAGTAATATTCTTTTGACTTATGTAATTTTGTTTTATAAAATATAAATTTATAATTTTCTTTCAAGTTCTGATAATTTTAAATACCTAAATTAATTATAAAGGTTGCCCACATATTGCAGCCCAATGGTGGAGACAACATGGGAGTTGCGCTCCAAACCTCCAGAAGATAGCTATGCGGATCTTGAGTTTGACAACAACCTCTTCTGATTGTGAGAGCAATTGGAGTTCGTTTGAGATGATATTTTACTATTTTACAATTTTATATGCTTTTTTTGTTTATAAGTTCATTTTGTAATATAGATTTATTAAAGGTAAGAAGATCATAGACCTATAGTAGTTACTTATGCATTAGTTTTCCTTATAGGTGCATACAAAGAGAAGA